GAGAGAGAGAGAGAGAGAGAGAGAGAGACCTGCAGCATGCAACATGTCAGTGGCGGGGCGCAAGAGGGCAGGCGCTGACCTCCAACAAAAAGAAGAAGTAATTTTATCGGAATACAAGAGTTTTTCTGTTCGAAATCCGAATAGAATAGAAAGGGTACAGGTTGTATTCGAATACAACCTGTACATTTTCTATTCGAGGAAACTGTGGTATTCGAGAAAAGTGCACCCGCACCGTTTCAATTTCGAAAAAGGCTTCAGGACCGCGGCCTCCTCAGCCTCCTCCGCGCAGCTACCGGTCCTACGCGGTCCTGGCCCTTGCAAGGCCCCAAAACCTCAAAATGCCCACCCTCCCGACGATCACGACGTTGAAATGACGTTGAAATGACGTTGAAATGACGTTGAACGTTGAAATGTCTCAGGGGGGGGAAACGCAACCCTGACGGGCTGCGAACACAGATGCCGAAGCCCACTATACCGCAGCCTCAGGGCTGCGAACTTAGCATGGCCCCTCATACACAGAAATATGATTTATTAGCATGGCCCCTGTGCAAGGATGACATGTTGAAGAGCTGAAGAGTAACACCTTTATTTTTATCTTATTTTACTTAGTTTTGGGTCCTTGTACTCCTGCAGTTCTTCCTGTTTTTTTTTTTTTTTTTTTTTTCCCATCTCCGTTTTTTCTCATGTCGTCTCCGTCTTTGTTCCTTTTGCTTTCCTTGCCGATATTTCCTTTTTTTTTTTGGTTGTTTTTTATTTATGAAAAGGGTCCCATTTGCTCCGTTTTTTTTTTGTTTTTGTTTTTGTTTTTTCGGGATGGATCACGGATCAGATATTAAACTGATCAGAACAGATACACTGCACTTGATCTTAACCAAAAGGTCGAGGTCGAGAAAGATAAGGTATTGTCGGTTTTCTCTGATCGTGTGTTCTTTCTTTTTCTTTTTCCTTGTAAATTATTTGCTTTTGTTTGTGTGTGTCCTGCTGTTTGGTTTCTTGCCGCCTGTTTTTTGCGTTGTTTTTCTTTTTTTTTTTGTGTTCCCACCTTCGTTTTATTTCTCCCTGCATGAACATGACCTTGAACACGACCGGTTTCATGATTTCCGAGCATGAACATAGCGCCGGTGAGCCTGGTTCTGTCTTTGCGGAGGTAGGTAATAGCAGAGGTCACCTTTCACTTTCCTGAACAGGTCAGGTTTTAGCAAAGGAAGCTATTTCCTGCCCTTGCTATCAGGAGGTATCAGCCAAGTTGCCACATTTGCCATTAGCGCTCTCTCCCTCTCCCTCTCTCCCTCTCTCTCCCTCTCTCTCTCTCTCTCTCTCTCTCTCTCTCTCTCCCCTCCCTGCCGCTCGCTCTCTCT